TTTCCCCCCCCCCCCCGCCGTTGATTTCGACCTTGATCTTAATTCAATGCCCTAAAAGGACACCCACCCTTTTCCTTTTTTTTCTGTTTCCAATGGCCGGTTTTTGCTGAATGTCTGAAGGTCCAATCCGCCACTTCGATGAGCCTTTGTGTATCAGAAGTCAATACTCGTTCTCATCTCAAAGGAAAGGAAAATAACAGAACCCCCAACACAATGCGCATTTTTTAAATTTTCAAATATTTTTATTAAAGGATTCGCCTCTTAAAATCATAATGTTGAAACAAATAAGAATATCACTTAGTTTTTTTCGTCAAAATATACATATACATACAATCATGTACCATATATATTCATACATTTTTCGCGAGAAATAAGAATCCTCAAGATAGAGAATACATAATTCATTCGCAGGAAGTTTTGGCGGATTGCTAGCAGAAGGAGTAGAGAAAAAGATGAAGAAACTGGAGAGTGAAAATAAAAGTAGATCGCCCAAGAGGCAGGCAATGAAGGTAATACAAAAGGATTGAGAATTGAAAAAAGGTGGAGGGAGACTCTCAGAAACAAAAGAAAACAAGAAGAAAAATACAACCGCGTCTATATTACACGTCGAATCTTGCTCGCAGTATCGTCCGCCTTGTCGAGTACCGCGGGCAAAGAAACGTAATAAACAGTTACGACTCTCACTCTCAAAATCATTAACCTCTTGCGATGTTCGAGGCCCGAGTGCGCGAGGATATTAACCAGAAAAGGAAGAAATAGAAAGGAAGATAAGATTGTAAAGAGGTAGAAGTGAGAGCATCCAGAAGAGAGAAACGAAAATGAAAATTGATTAGTCTCGAGCACTGGAGATCGCTGTGAGTAGTTTCACTGTTTACAATTCAAATATCATCTCGTTGTTTTAAGTTATCGTCAACAGCCTAGAAGAAACCATCGCCAGTGGGATCGTTGAGCCATGGGTAGTTGTTGGGACACCTGACGCATGTCTGAAGATTGAGAGTCTCTCCGGGCACCTCTTTGGCGGTTAATTTGCAAGTGTGAGGCACCCAACAAGCTGGTGGTCCCTCAACACTGCACTTCTCCCGCCAGGCCTCGAAGTTCTTCGACTCTGAAGAGGTTCTTGGGTTTTGGATCCATTGGATGACTTGAGTCATGGTGACGAAATAGACATCGTTGTGGTTGGTCAGCACCTCGTCGATCCAGAAGAGGAAGGCGTCGAGGAACTCGGGGTTGTTCTTCAGCCAGGCTGCGTGGAAGTAGAGACCGAGGGGCGCACGATTCTGGTCGTAATGTCTGTCGAAGTTGTGGTTTAGGAAGTTGTAGAACTGATCGCCGGTGAGGATGTTGCTGCAGGAGTCAACCATAGCACATCCTGGGAGGTACTCATCGTTGACGGGGTCTTCCCTCCTGTCTAACTCGTTCATCACCATTTCCCAAACGGCGTGAGACCTTTCGAACACATTGAAACGAAGTTAATGATTGATGACAAGGTTGAGGTGAAAATATTAGGTTTTGGAATTTGGTTGGAAGCTGTTGCTTTGGTGTTTTGATATGAAACTCACCTGGTTGGGCAATGCTGGAGGTTTCCATGGCAACGGTGAGGCATTCTGAAGTACATGGTGTACGGCCATAGAGGAGGATTGTTCAAAGCAGCTGTAATGGTGGAGTCGTACAAGAAAGCTTGCTCCTCCATCATCGTGAACTGGTTGTTACCACCGACACGGAGGTAAGGGGCGCGAACTCCCACAACACTGTTGTCCGTCAAGTTAGCGTACTTCTCGGCGATGATCCTCATGCCTGCCATCTCTTTCGCCCAGTCGTCGACAGTTGCGTTCGACCAGAACCTTTCGTCATCGTTGTGCCTGGAGACAAATAATCATATTGGACAACTCTATTGATGCGGATCCGTCGTTGGTTGATCTGAAGTGAGATCAGAATGTTTGGAAACTTATTGATAACTCACGAGATTGAGTGCACAGCGATTTCATGTCCCTTCCTGTGCATCTCTTGTACAGCGGAGTAGTTAGTGTACTTGTGTGAAACAAAGAAAGTGGCCTTGATGTCACAACCATTGGGATTCTTCCTTTTGCTGTTGAAGATCTCCTTATACAATCCGATATTGTTGTTGTTGATGGCATCATCGAAGGTGATGGTGATCATCTGGGGGACGTCCTTGTAGGGAATGTCACCGGGAATAGTAGTACCATCTTCCGAGCAGAAGCAGTCTGGCAGAACACAGACGGTCGGATCACAGGGTGGCGCCCGGTTGGGGTCATTATCCATATCTAGAATCACAAGTGAACTATTGAAATCATTGAACCACACCAACCGATCTCATCAAATATCCCCGGAAGCTGTTGACGTACCACAAACATTCTCATCAGAACCGTCAAGACAATCAGGCTCGCCGTTACAGAAGAGACCGCGCTCTATGCAGGTACCATCACCACAAGCTAGAGAACCATCCGAACAGAGTGGCTCCTCGGTGAACAGCATTGGCTTAGCTTTCCTCTCCTTGTTCTTCGTTTTGCAGTTATTGACTGCTGCTTTCCAATCACATGTCTGCTTGTCAATGTCAAAGTAAAGCCCGGCGGGACACCTGATGGCCTGCAGCCCCGAACTCGTACACTGAATGACATCACGACAATTATCACCCTCACCAGCTACCAATCGGAACCACTCTCCTGCATCCTTGTCCTTGCAGATTTCATTCTCAAAACTCTCGTCCTTCTTCGGCTCATCCTGACGCTTCACTCGAACCGATGATGCACCATCTACAAAAATCATTCGTCTCTCTAATTCAGGAAGGAGATATCGCTCTGACTCGGGGTTGCTTTGATTGTTATGAATCTATTCTACAAATTTTTCCAAATTTTTCGCGAAAGACTCGCCAGCCGTGGGGAAAGTTTTCCTCCCACCCCGAGACCAACCGGGGCCTTTGGGGCACGGCAACCAGTGACGTCAGACGAGACAGGAAAGAGACCCGGCCCTGGGGCATTTACGTTCTAATCTATTATGCAACAGTCGTCTCGCTTATGCGCCCAACGACGAAACGGATCATCGTAAAATCAAATTTAAATAACAGCTTGATCATCCCAAACTCTAGATATTCGAAAGCATCTTTTTTCAATTTTTCTTATATGAAAGAAATCGAGAGTAGAGCTTCATTGAAAACAGAAACAGGTTTTCTTCGGCTTCTCCTTTTTTTCTCTTCGTTAAATTAATTTACATATTGACTGGTACGATCAGAGAAATTGAGCATAAATTATTTGAAAACCGGGAAGGCGCCTTTCTCCGACACTTTTAAGTAACTCGTTTATTTTTTTTTCCTCTTCTCTCAACTCTTTCCCCACCCTCGGAATAGTTAATACCGCGTCGTGGAATATTCAATACATTTTCATTTGTATGAAATGTTATAATGCGGATTTATCTAATGGAGAACGGATGTATCGTATCTATATAAATGGAGCGGATTATCATGATCATCGTTCATGATGCAACTGAACATAATCCCGCGGCGTCAATAACCCGAACTATCGTTAACATCAAGCATTATTTATCGCAAAAGGTGTTATCAATTGAAAACCTAAAGATATTCCAAAAGGGAGTTCTACTTACGTGTGACAGCTACTGCCGCACCAAGCAGCAGTATCATCAGCGAGGACCTCATTATCCTCGTCTCGTTTTATTAACGTGCAATGACAATGGTATCACCCGCACGCAACGGTATTACGTTAATCACGATTAATTAAATTTCCCCTCAAAATTCTCTTGATGTATGATTAAAGTGAGAGTCACCAAACGAGTCCGTGATTACTTGGCTCGTGCTTTTATCGAACTAGCCGGGGTCCAATCTGATGAGTTGGACGCGAATAACGGAGAAAGGAGGCGGGGGGAGGGGGGATCAATCAAGAAAGATGAGGATTAATCAACACGTCGCACCACTTCCGGAGGATCCGCCAACTTCCAACAGTAGAAGTAACCAGAATATTACCATTAGAAAAGTACCAGAATTAAATACTAAAATCTTAACTAGTAATAAATAAAAAAAATTGATATATGTAATGGTGATTATTGGATGACACTCGGAGTGGGGTGCGGACCTTGGATCGTAGGTACCGCATACGAACTGGCTGAGGCGCGCCACTCACCCGGCCTTATATTGCCACCACCACCTTCAATCAAGTCCCCAAGAAGTTCTTGCGCCCCCTCTCGATTCAATTCCACCGCAAGTTTTGTTGACGACCGATGCTAAAATCAACTGCTGCTGCATACGACGGGGTTAATCATTTGAGATATGTCTCATGCTATTGATTCCTGATGTGACTCATTTGAGGTTGATTTGATGACTTGATGGATGAGAAGGACTCGAGATTTGATTGATTAGCTGATTTTTATCTGATGAATGTTCGACTCGCTTTATCGGTCTAGCGGCATCGTTCCCCTAGGACTGCTGGTTATGATCTGGGGGCCTCACTCCTGTATACCAAGAGGTGATTCAGGCGCTCCGTTGACGTCATCGCGGCGCCTACAGTTTCACGAGTAAATCCGTCTGATATAATTTGCTTTCTGGTTTCGACATTGTCTGGTCGATTTTAAGAATGTGGAAAGCGATTATCAAAAAGATCGTGATGTAATTGTTGATGTATGTTGTGGGGCTTTGGAGCAACACTCGATTGACCAAGTGATGGATTGAGTCGTAGACGCTCGCAGGTGGCTTTTAGACTAATGTCTTTTTGAGAAATATTGAGCGGGAGATTTGATCGGCCGATCGACCTTTTCCACTTTCTTCGGTTTCTGATCTTTGGCGTCGCAAGCCATGCGACATTTGAGGTACATCGAGATCAACAGGATCAATGAAATGTAATTGAAACCATCGGCAGTGATCGGGAAAATGATTGGTTTTTATGTCGTTTTGCTTGAAGACTTGACGACGTATTCCCCCGACGTAGCATATCAATCAGATGAATTGAGCGATCAATTTGATGCAACAAATAGGCGCACATTGTGGATTATATTGAGTAAATTTCACAGACAATCGCATTACGTGGAGACCCTCGAGGGGGTAGGACAATGCCTCGTTTCACTTTGGCATCACGTTTCAGCTTGTTGTACACAGTCATCTTCTTCTAAATGTCAGGACAACGGAGATGAAGCCGAATGAGAAGGGCTCCCTTGGCATTTTCGATGATTTCGTGACCGATCTCAGCTTGTACGCAATTTTTATTGCGCAATTGTGTTATTATTCGTGTGAGATTCAATGCCAAAGAGGAGTTATTATGCGTCATCTGTTCGTATTTGTCTTCTTCTTTGGTTTTTTTACGCTAGCTTCGGGTTTTCGGAGATTGCTGCTGTTTTTTGTCCTCTTAAGTTGCATTTGTGATTTGAAAGTCAAGTCAGATTACTGGAATGTCTTGTGCTCTCAAATTAGTATGATGATGTCGATGCCCCCGGGGCAAACGCCTTCTCATCGTTGAGCATTTGGCTACCGCTCTTATTTTTCGGGCCTCTGGGCCATGTTTTGTGTAACTCGAATCATATTCGATAGATTTTACTTTCCACTTTCATCTAGGAGGTGGGTGATACAAAGGGGCAGATGTCTTTCAAACTTTTTCGGTGAGATGTTCGCCTCGTTTTGTTATGAAATAGAGTGGTTTGCTGGATTGATAGACAGGGAGAGAGAAAGGGAGAGGAGAAATGAATGAATGTTGGTCGTTTGTGCTCTATGGGCAGATAAATCTCGTGGGTTGGTATGCTTTTTTCAATGGTAATGGGTTTCTCGATGCCAATACGAGATAAGGGAATATAAATAATGGCTTCTGGATGACAATGGTGCATCGGCGGTTCAATATCGCTTTCTCTGCCCGCGGCTACAGGGGAATTGTGAGATCGATGGGGACTGCCGGCGACATCTGCCGCGAGATCGAGAAGTCGGGCGATCGTTGAGGATCGATAATGCATTGGTAAGGAGGGGATCGGTTCTACCTGCGGTGGTACTTCCGGTTCGGCGGAGGATTCAATGATTTTGGTAAGGGAATGGTAAAACGAGTTGAACAGGAATACAAGAAATACCGAAAGTCATGGGTTCACACGTGCCATACCGATCTTCGGTATCTTGAGGAAACTGATACATTGTTACAGAAAAAATGAAATTTCATGGACAATTTCCTCAATTCTGATTTTGACCAATCAGAGTGCAGTATTCGGAGTCACGTGACGCGTTTCACACTGATAATTTCCCCGGATGCAGGGAAATTATCAGACTGATAATTTCCCTATAGCCTGTCAATTGCTTTCTACGAATTTGACAGATATTCCTCACATTTTGGTGAGATGTGTCCCGTAACCCCGAACACTGCACCCTGGTCGGCCAAAATCAGAATTGAAGAAATTGTCCTCCGAATACCCCTCGACCTTCAAAATTCATCGGATATTTCCCTCAAGTTTTCCTGCATATCGGCGATCGGGATCAGCTTTGCTGTACAACTAATCCCTCTCGTGGCTATGCAACAAAACATTCGAGAAATATCCGATAATTTTGAAGGTCTTGGGGTATTATAGCTGATAATTTTCACTATCAGGAATTTTTTTTTACCTGAATTTCCCTGATTTATATTACGATGGAAAAAAATATACTTGAATTGAATATATTTTATACCAGAATCAAATATATGCATAAACCTGATTCAAGAATAAAATATGCTTGAGTCAAGTATATTATTCTTGATTCGAGTATTTAATATACTTGATTCATTTTACATATTCGAATGGGGTATAGGCGTTTCAATGCAAATGTAACGTAAGGGTCAGGCGCTAAATGTGAAAATGTAAGGGTCAAAAAGTGGAGGTTAAAAAATGAGGGTCAGAATGTTAGGGTTAAAAATTAGGGTCAGAATGCCACGTCTTCCCCTAGAAAACGATGATTACGGCTCATTTCCTTGACATTTGATCTTCCAGTTTCCTAAACATTACTTTTCTGCCATCGAAAAATTATTTTAAATGCCGATAAATTTCTTAGTATCTTTCCATTTCTCGCCCTGTCCACTTCACCAAAACTGCATCTCCATCATCGAGATCGAAATATCGAACGAGGCTCATGTTGACGATTTCCAAAATCAGTCTGAAATTCACGGCAAATGAATAAAGCCCCCAGAGCCGGCCTCACCCCCGGGTTATTCGGAGCACCTGACACACAGGATTCCCCGCACCTCTCCTTCGCCCTCTCCCACCCGCTCACTACATAATTCTATCTATAGACCCACATGTTGCATTCGCTGCCCACTCTACACTGCTACAACCCCCCGAACTTCATGAATCCCATCAGCTCCATTACGCTCGATTAGAGGACTACAGCCGCTCCCACCGTCACGCATTCCCCGGAAATCCCCTTATATAGTGCCATATTCATGGATATCGCATTCTACGGAGAGCTTCTCATAACCGTTATTTCCTATTTTCTCCGTATTTTCTCGGTCTCAACGGTGGAAGTAAAAACGAAATGATACGGGTAAAAATTGTCAACCGAAGCTTCGAAGTTTTTTCCTTCGTTTTAAATTTTTCGAGGATTTTAGCGATGTGCACAGAAAAATAGAGTTTTGATTTTCAGGGACGTGTCGCTGATTTTTGGGAAATCATTGAACCCACGTATTTATTTTAATAGGGGAGGGTAGGGCAAAACGGAACGGAAGGGCAAAACCGACCACTGACAAAAAATTGATGATTTTTGTTTTTTTTTCTTTCCTGCAAATCAGGAACACTGAGTGTGTTGAATTGAAAGTGAGTTTCTTGGATCGTAACCGTCACAGGGGTTTTATAGACAACAAGTGTCGTTGCACCGCAATTTGATCAGATTTGCTAATCACACGGAGAGAAATTTTTTAGAAAAATTCTAGTGCTAGCACGGGAAAAGAGGCGCCAAGTGACAGTCAGAAAAAAATTACAGTGCTGGCCCTAGAAATTTTATTGGGGAAAACGTGAATTTTTCCCCGTATTTCTGTGAAAATTTAACAGAAATCCCCAGAAATTTTGCCAGAAATACCAAGAAATTTTACTTTAACAGCACTAGAATTTTTCACAGCCGATGGATTGTGATTTTTTCCAGTACTCGTACTAGAATTTTTCTAGAAAATTTCTCTCCGTGCACCTCAAACCACAAATGACTTCGAATTTGCTCCATTCGGAAGCAAAAACCAAAATTATCAATTTTCTGTCATTGGTCCGTTTTGCCCTGCGGTCCGTTTTGCCAGCCTGGTCCGTTTTGCCCTCCCCTCCCCTACGGAATAAAATTTATGCTCTCTTTATCAGGCATTAAATTTTGATCATAATCATTCAGTTAAAACATTTAAAAAACGATGGATTTATTTGTGTTAATCCTACCATTTTCTTGAGTTATTTCCCATATAATAAAAAAAAATCAACAGACAATCATTTTACACAGTTATAGAAAGTTCAGACCGGAACCTGCAAAAGTAATTTTTTGGCTCTCCTGTAAAATCACGATTTATCGACTTATCACCCTTTACCGCTTCGCAACTGAAATTTATTAGCAACATTTTTTTTCATAAATTTCCCCCATAATTTAGCATCAAACATTTTTCTCCGTGCAGCACTCACAATTCTCCCCCGAGCCATGTAAAAAGAAATAAAAATAATGACATTTTAAAATCCAACGTCCCCATAACTATTTTATCAAGACCTTGAGAATCCGCCGAATGCTCTACCTCAACGTTTCCCATTCCCCATTTTTACCCTCGCATCTGCAATATTGATAACGGTATTCCAGCCATTCGATCCGGCGTTTCTCCCTCGAATGGGTGCTGTGGATGTGAAGGGGATGAAACTGCGGAGCATCTGCAGATGCATCTGTTGCATCTCCCGTCGCATCCGGCAGTAGTCGAGGTCCTCGTATGCACAGACCGCTCGATAACGGATTATACCCGTCTCTCATGTAAAAACCCTCTCCATAAAACGTGTTCTTTTCACTGTTTTTTTCCGCTCGTCTCACCCCTGCTGGAGTGGCGGTACATGTGGCTTCCGCGTTGTACACGCGATGCATTTTTAACGCTCCAACATCGAGACCTTGCGTCACGGAGAGCTCCCTTGTTATTGT